CTACAAACACTTTATTTTCATCTTTTCATTCTCTCACATTTTTTTCTTTTCCCTTTTTGTTCTTCCCCTACGTATCACACCTTCCCTACACCTTTAGCTCCTTTCCTCCCATTTCTAAATGTCAGTAATCTTATTAGAATCTTATGCATTGTTGCAGAATATTCACACCAGGGAAACTATTTGGTATTTACACATGTGGATTTTTTTATCATATAAAGATGTGACTGAAAAATATGGTGAATGTTTAAATTAAAAAAAAAAACTTACAGTAGGAGACACGTTGCCTCTTCAAAACACTCCCCCTTGCTTTAAACACACGTATCCTATTATTCTTGCCACTTTCTGAAGCAGTTCTAAAAGTCCTGTATTACGAGTGTCTTTATGAGGTATGATAAAAAATACGGAAAATGTGCTAACCAAGTGCCATCCCGTAGGCTTTTAAAAACATAAGGCATGTCCTCATCTACCTTACCAGATTAGTGTTTCTCCTAAGTCAAAATGACCATAAAAGATAAATGTCTTGAATCAATTTAGGACATAAAGGCAGCCTTACCAGTGCAGTTAAAAGACACTTGCAAAAGATTTCTAGAACTGCTTCAGAACATTGCAAGAATGATGGAATAAATGTGTGTAAAGCAAGGGGAATTAAAGGCAATGTCTTTTCTTACAGTAACTTTAAAAAAATTTAAGCATTCATTATATATTGTGATTACCTCTGTATTCTAAAACTACCTCAATTATGTTTAACTTTTTTTAGAAAAATTACTTAACTTTATATAAACTTGAAGGTTATTCAAGCAGAACTTGTGAATATAACTGAGTCAGTCTTCCTTACTATCATGAAATACCATTTCTGTCATGTATGTCTGCATGACGGTGGCATAGTCCCTATTCTAGTCTACTGGCCCATTTGTTTTGCCTTTAATCACTCAGATTTTGATTTTTGAATACTTTGTAATATTTGTTTATAATTTTAATTACTCTAATTATTGATTGAGTTTTCTCCTATTTTCAGTATTTTGCTTTCATACTTAACATTTAAAAATGACAAAGCTATGCATGGTGGTACATGCCTGTAATCCCAGCCCTCGGAAGGCTGAGGCAGAGGAGGATCGCTGGGAGTTTGAGACCAGCCTGGGCTACATAGTGAGTTCCAGGACTATCTCAACTACATAGTGAGACCCTGTCTCAAAAAAACAAATAAGACAACTATTTTGTTGATTTGTCAGATTGAAGATGTTTTTCAAAAATAAACTGATAACACTACATAGAACTGATTATGGAGTCTTTCATTTTTGATTCAGTTATATTGATAGTTATTTTACTGTATTTTTTCACTGAGATATTTCATTTACATTAGGATATTTGATTTAAATTTTCATATAAGATGAAATTAGATGGGTTTTTTAAAGAAGTCACTTGGCATGGTGGTATGCACCATTAAACCCAGCATTCTGGAAGGCTGTGGTAGGAGGATCATATATTCAAGCCCAGCTTGTACAATATAGTGAGACCCTGTCTTAAAAATTTAAAAAACCCTGGAGATGTAGCTCAGTGCAAAGGCTCTGAATTCAATCTCCTGTACCACAAAAGGGAGGAAGGTAGGTAGGTAACTGATTTCTGAATAGTTTATACATTTTTTGAGATCTACAATTTTTATGATTAGTTTTTTCAACAACTGTGATCATTTAACCATTTTCATTGACTGTATATGTAATCTTTTTATTTCAGGAAAAGTTAAAAGACTTAGTTCTGTATATTAGATCTATTAATTTGTGTCACTTCCTTTTCATATAATATGTACATCTTACTGTGTCATCGTTTTCCTTTTTAATGTACAGTTATGTTGTAGTTTGACTGCTGTTTATGGCTCCCTTGCTTTTGGTTCTTATTTTTTCCCCATTCCCATGCCTTCCGTTTACCCCCTCAACCCCTCTATTTACAAAGACTTTATTTCCATTTTTTAATTTTCTCATATTCCATTCCATTGCTTTGATATTATAAATAGTATTTTAGTGAACATTTAACTATATGTTCACTTATTTTAAGTAAATCTCTAAAGGTGAAATTGTTGAGTCATGTTAAAGACTTGATACTTGTTATTAATCTTGATCTTCGGTAAGGTTGTAATAGTTTATTGGTGATTCCCAAATGCTATCTGTAGGTCTTCTTTTCTAGCAGTTCATTTTCTCTAGAAAAAAATGCCTCAGTTTTAAATGTTTTTATTTGTAAATTTTTGGGGGTATTGAGAATTGAACCCAGGGCCTTCACACTGAGCTACATTCCCCATTCATTTGTTCATTCATTCATTCAGAGACCGCATAATACTGAGTTGCTAAATTTGCCCAGACTAGGATTAAACTGTCCTGGTACTCCTGTCTCTGCCTTCCAGGGTGCTGACTACTCAGGTGTGTGCCACCACACGTGGCAGGGATAAAGGTTTTAGAAGATTCATGTTGAGTTTCTCTTAATCTTATTGTCTATCTTAAGAGTCACCCATTGTGTTTCAAGGAGCCTAGCACTTCAAACTCCTGGGCAGA